ATAGGCTGGCACTAAGCCCTTCATGAGGGATCTGCCCCCATGATCCAGTACCTCCCACCAGGCCCCACCTCCAATATTGGGGATTACACTTCAACATGAGATTTAAATGGGATAAATATCCAAACTGTATCACCCTGCAATTCTGTTTCTGTCCTAGGATTCTCCATCTTAGTCATGCTCTTGCACCTCTGTTCATGTACCTGATCTTGGGAGAAAAGTCAACTATGACAGTGTCTCCCTCTCCATAACCCACTATTTCCAATCAATCATCAGTTTCTTTAAAATAACTCTTGGCTTTCATCATTTCTCTCCCTGTGTGTTTCACTGCCTTAATCTGGGCAACCATGATCTCTCACAGGAACCATTAATGTACCTTCCAACTGTTCTCTCCACATCTGCTCATTCTCTTCTCTATTTTATCTCCCCACAAGTTATGTTTTTTAGACCAAAAAATGTAAACCGTCTTTTAAAAAGAAATGCAATGCTAGCAAAATACACGCTGTTCTTCATTGTTTTTTTTTTAACTTAGTAATGTATCATGAAGATCTTTTCACACAAGTATGCCTAGAATTGTCTCACACTTTTAACAGCTGCCTTTCACTTATTTTTTATTTTTTTCTTTTCTTTCTTTCTTTTTTTTTTTTTTTGTTTGTTTGTTTTCTAAGACAGAGTCTTGCTCTGTCACCCAGGCTGGAGTGTAGTGGCGCAATCTCGGCTCACTGCAATCTCTGCCTCCTGGGTTCAAGTGAATCTCCTGCCTCAGCCTTCTGAGTAGTTGGGATTACAGGTATGAACCAACACGCCCAGCTAATTTTTTGTATTTTAGTAGAGATGACGTTTCACCATGTTAGCCAGGATGGTCTCGATCTTCTGACCTCGTGATCCGCCCACGCTGGCCTCCCAAAGTGCTGGGATTACAGGCGTGAGCCACTGTGCCCAGCCTCTTTCACTTGTTTAATTCTATCATAATTTATTTAAGCACTTCTCTATTGATGGCTGTTTTCAGTCTTTAACTACTACTATAAATCGTGCTTCAGTGTAGGTCCTAGAAGAGTCATCCTTCAATATCCGTGTGAGTATATCTATTGGATAAATATATGACAGTAGAATTGCCAGGGTAAAGGCTTTGTACATTTAAAATGTTGCCAGATTGCCCTCCATAGAAGTGATACCACCTTTCACTCCCATTGGCAGTATAAGAAAGTGCCTGCTTCCCAGCCTGGCCAGCCAAGTATATTATTAAAGTTTTTATTTTTGTCAACTTGACAGTAAAAAATAGATGTCACTGCAGTTGTGATGTGCATGCCTTTTATTATTACACATTTTCAGATACATTTGTATTTCTTTGACTACAATCTATTTGTCATACCCTTTGCCCAATTTTCCAGAGTTTTAAAGGTTTTTTTTTTTTATGGATTTGTAGGAGTACTCTGATTTCTTCTTAAATAGTTTAATTTCCAGGTTCTATCAGATATCCTGGTATCTTTTCAAAGTAATGATTTAGTCAATTTTTAAATTCTAATAATAAGTAATCATCAAGGGCTAACTCCATTACAAGGGAGTCCATATGTAGAATGCATGAATTGATTTGCAGAAGTCTTGAATTCCTGAAAATAATTTCACAAGACTGCCTTATGCCTATACCTATTCCATTTCATTTCATTTTCCTAATAGCCTTGTGAGGCATATAGTATTATTAACCACAAAGTGAGGCTCAGAGAATGTAAACATCCAGGATCACACAGCTAGTAACTCTTCCACTTCCAGAATCTTAAAAACCTAGTAATCATTGCCACTAGCCATTCCAGTTGCACTAAGACTCTGATTCTTGATGCCTCCAATTTCTAATAAATGGTTGTTTTTCTCCTTTTCCTACTACAAACATCCAATGAATATGTGTGTGTGTGTGTATATACATATATTTTTTTTTTGACTTATTTATTTTTGAGACAGAGTCTCGCTCTGTCGCCCAGGCTGGAGTGCAGTGGCGAGATCTCAGCTCACTGCAAGCTCTGCCTCCCAGGTTCACGCCATTCTCCTGACTCAGCCTCCTGAGTAGCTGGGACTACAGGCACCCATCACTATGCCCGGCTAATTTTTTTTATTTTTAGTGGAGACGGGGTTTCACCACGTTAGCCAGGTTGGTCTCGATCTCCTGACCTCGTGATCTGCCCGCCTTGGCATCCCAAAGTGCTGGGATTACAGGCATTAGCCACTGCGCCTGGCTCTAATGAATATTTTTTAAGTGCCTGACATGCCAGTAATCTTCATAAGGTTTGCATTTTAGAGGAGTTCTCAACCATACATGATAAAAACAAATAGTAATAAAGTTCCACTACTACAAAAAAAAAAATACGTAGGATAGTTGGAAACGTGGAGAGAGAAGGACATTTCAGGTGGAGTGATCAGGGAGGACTTCTTTGAGGAGGTGACATATAAGCAAAGATCAGAATGACCAAAAAAATATTCCAGGAAAAGGAAGTATATGGGGTAAATCGTATAATACAAGAGCAAATTCAACACGTTTGAGGAAGATAAATAAGGCTGGTGTCACTGCAGTGGTGGAGAGTGGTGGGAGATGAGGTTGAAGAGGTGGTCAGGGATGCTGTACAGGGCTCCATAGGCCCTGTATGGAGGAGGAGTCTGGACTTTATCACAAGTGCCATCAGCAGACATGGAGGGATTCTAAGATGAGAAATCACATGATCTGATTTATGTCTTAACACTTATGATTTATGAAACTCTAACCGTGCTGTGGAGAATGAGGACAAGAGCAGAAGCAGGAAAACCATTTAGAAAGCTATTACAAGAGCACAGAAGAGGGATGATGGTGGTTTGTATTAGAGTGGTAGCGGTGGAGATTGAAAGAGACATTTTGGAAATGTTTTGGAGGTAAAGTTAACTTGAATTCTGAGGATTGTGAAAACGGAGGAAAAGAGAAGAATCAAGAATATCTACATGCTTTTTGTGTTGGGTAATTGGTGGATGGTAATGCCATTTAATTTGAAGGCTGAGAGAATAAAGAATTCTACTAGGGTAGTATTTCCTTCTTTCCTTGCGCCGCCTTAAGCTTGCAGACCATGGATTGCACCAATCTCTTTCCAATACTTTTATTTTATTTTCTTCCCCTACTTGCCCTTTAGTCCTTCTTATATAAAAGAACTTCATCTATCTGCATCCTCTACTGTCATCCTGTCTTCAACTCACTGCAGTTTGGCTACTAACCCCATTTTACTAATAAACTCCTTCTTGCCAAACACACCAATGACCTCCTTATTACTAAATCAAAAAACTTCTCAGTACTCTTCTTCTTTTCTTTTCTTTTCTTTTCTTGAGACAGAGTCTTGCTCTGTTGCCCAGGCTGGAGTGCAGTTGTGTCATTTCAGCTCACCACAACCTCTGCCTCCTGGGTTCAAGAGATTCTTGTGTCTCAGCCTCCTGAATGGCTGGGACTACAGGTGTGTGCCACTACACCCGGCTAATTTTAGTAGAGACAGGATTTTGCCATATTGGCCAGGCTGGTCTGGAACTCCTAACCTCAAGTGATTCGCTCACCTCGGCCTCCCAAAGAGCTGGGATTACAGGCGTGAGCCTCCGCAGCTGGCCACAATCCTCTTTTTCTTGATCTTTCACTGGCATTTCATATTGCTGATATTTCCTCCCCTGGCTTCTCTGAAACTACTTGTTCCTGGTCCTCCTACCTCTTGGGATATTTTTCCCCTGTGTTTTTTCTTTCCTCACTTTTTAAATTCAGTGTTTTCATTGGGTTCCAAAGTAGATCCTCTTCTTTCCTTTCTCTATGCCTTCTCTTGGAGATTTCATCTACTTCCATGAACTATTCCTTATTCTGATGACTCCAGCATAGATCTCTCTCCTGAGTTCTAGACTTCCCCATTCAATTATGTAGTAGACAGCTTCACTTTGATATTCTATGGACACTTCAACTCAACATGTTGAAAACTAAACTAATTACCTTTACTCCACAACCTGCTTTTCCTCCTGAGGTCCCTATCTTGGACCTCAGGATATATCTGCAGGATATAATGGGAGCAGATTTACGGCTTATGAAAATGGAAGGATACCACTGATGGAGGATACCATCAATAATCAAATTCTGTTGGTACTATGTCCTTAATATATCTTGAACCCTTTCAATTCTTCCTTTCTCCATTTCCATTCTTGCTACCTTAGTTTAGACATCCATCATTATTTCGTTCTTATAAAGTGATATGGTTTGGCTCTGTGTCCCATCTCAAACTGTAATCCCCACGTGCTGAGGGAGGGACCTGGTGGGAGGTGACTGGATCGTAGGGGAAGTTCCCCCCATGCTGTTCTCATGATAGTGAGGGAGTGCTCATGAGATCTGATGGTTTTAAAAGTGGCAGTTTCCCCTGCAAGCTCTCTCTCTCCTGCCGCCTTGTGAAGAAGGTGCCTGCTTCCCTTTCACCTTCCACCATGACTGTAAGTTTCCCCCGGCCGGAGCACAGAGGCATGATCTCCTCTCATTGCAACCTCCGCTTCTCCGGTTCAAGTCATCCTCCTGAGGAGCTGGGACTATAGGTGTGTGCCACCAGGCCTGGCTATTTTTTTGTGTGTGTTTGTGTTTTTGTAGAGACAGGGTTTCACCATGTTGCCCAGGCTGGTCTCCAACTATTGAGCTCAAGCAATCTGCCCACCTCAACCTCCCAAACTGCTGGAATTACAGTAGTGTGCCACTGCACCCAGCTGAGAGATCTTTCTAAAATGAACATTTGATCAGTTCACTATGCCGGCGGATCACAAGGTCAGGAGATCGAGACCATCCTGGCTAACACGGTGAAACCCCGTCTCTACTAAAAGTACAAAAAACTAGCCGGGCGAGGTGGCGGGCGCCTGTAGTCCCAGCTACTCGGGAGGCTGAGGCAGGAGAATGGCATAAACCCAGGAGGCGGAGCTTGTAGTGAGCTGAGTTCGTGCCACTGCACTCCAGCCTGGGCGACAGAGCAAAGACTCCGTCTCAAAAAAAAAAAAAATTATCAGTGCTTCTCCAACAGCCTTAGAATAAGTTCAGACTTTTTAGGATGACATACTCGACCATGCTAATCTTCCTGGATTTCTCCTTCAGGACTTCTGCCACGGATTTATACAATGTATTTATTTAGAACCTACTTGCCAGGCTCTGTTCTTCACCCTCAACTCTCTGGGTACAGCTTTTTCCCTAAGGTCTTTACACATAGTACTTTCTTTGCTTGGAATATCTTTCTCTGTAACCTGCCCACTTGTCTGGCTTACTTCTACTTCTCCTTCAGAACTCATCTCAATATTCACCTTGTGTGGTTAAAGACCCTATGCGTGGTCAGAGTTAGGCACCCTTATAAGCTCCCCTGTTGATATCACCTCACTGTTGCCTCATCAACTGCATATTCATCTTTGTTCTCATGATACTATAATGTCCTTCAAAGCGGAAACTGTGTCTTATTCATCTTTGTATTCCCAGCACCCAGCACAATACCTGACACAGCGCAAGCACTCAATAATGAATAAAGTGGCAGAGTTGGGTTTCAAAGTCAGGTCTTTTCTCTCTGGCACAAATCTCACATTTCTTCATGCCACTTCTCAATACTGTGAATCTGAAAAATTCTAAGAGCTGAGCAAGGTCTATTTTTGCCTAGCACTAATTAAAACACAGGCAAATAGATTATTATTAGTTCCATGAGGATTCAGTTTATATTTCTGTACACCCCTTCCTCCATCATTCCACCACTTGGATCATCAGAGTACTTAGGATTATCTATATCTAAAATGACTGAAAGGCTAGGCATGGTTGAGTGCACCTGTAGCCGCAGTTACTCAGGAGGCTGAGGTGGGAGGCTTGCTTGAGCCCAGGAGTTGGAGGTCAGCCTGGGTAACACAGTGAGATGTTGTTGTAATAAATAAATAAGTAGACTGAAAGAACTTTCTCTATACTTTTATATCCTTTTGTAACTCTTATCCTGCTGCTTCCATAATACCACTGAGGCAGGGAGAGAGTAAGTACATGGGGAGTAAGGTAAATTTTATTTTTCTGTCAACAGACACTAAAAATGGATACATCAATAGAAAATCATTTCCCATCATTTCCCTCAAGGTTCCTATGGATAGATACTAAAGGTTCAGTGCTAAAATTTAACATTGCAAAATCCACCTAAAATTGAAATTTTTATGTAGTGAGTTCAATCTCATCACAGAAGTTTGTAAATGGGAGGAGCCTTAGAAATCCTTTAGTCCAGCACTTTCATTTAAGCTTCCACAAAGAAACTGACATAAGACCTACAATGGCTCACTCAAGGTCATCCAGGCTATTGATGCCATTATACATCTTTTTCAAAGGGCTTTATTTTCCATCTAAACAAATTGTCTACATCAGAATCCACCTATTTACATAGGGCTTATCTTTCTGATATTGCCTTTGCAATATCCTTGTTATAAAGAGGAAGGAACTGAAAACAAAACAAAACAAAACAAGGTTGTCTTGTCCAGGGACGTAGGGGAATTGGTAAAAGAGACAATTAGTACACAAAGTGATGGGGTTTCCTATTTGTAGTGCAGCCTTGTAATCACACTGTGTTCTCTGAATGCCACAATACTAACCCAAGCTTACTTGTCCTTCCTGGGCCTGGATTCCATTCAATTCTATGCCTTATTTAGTCTAAATGATTTCCCCAGCTTCAACGTGTATTTATTTATTTATTTATTTATGCGTTTCATTTTAGAAGTATACTTAAATCTACTCTTTACTCGAGTGTGTCTTAGTTCTAGTGCTGAGGAATGAAGATTTTGGGTAAAAGAAATCGAGATGATTTTTTTTTCTAGGCTTTACATTTCAAGGATGGTTTCTCAAATGGCAACTGGCAGTCTGCTCCTCAAATGATGACACTTTCCACGGGAATTAGAATTTAATTGGAATAATTTGTTTTCAACGGGAAGCAAAGATTTCTTTCCAAGAGGATCAGTTTGATAATGTTTTACCAGCTAGTGCTACGAGACCAAATATAAACCAGTTCTGAGAAACAGGAAGTGAACTGACTGGTCTAGTCTGAGTGTCCCTGGCAGTGACGCAAATACAGAAATCAAATTAGGAAAACAAGATATGTGGGTGTGAGGCAATCGATAATCCAGGATGCTACAACATAAGCAAGAACGCCTTTAACCCGATGCCGTTCATTTTAATAACACCCTGAGCAGTTTGATTTCCATGGAACACGCTGGTGATTAGAGAGCAGCAGGAGCTTGGGTTCCCTAGCAACAGCATGTGCTTTTGAGACAGTCATTAGCCTTTCAGTTAATCCCATCAACCCCTTACCTCTAAATGTATGACTGACATTAAAAAAATGATGTTTTAGAAAGTGCTTTGAAATTTCCAGGAGTGCAATGGAAGGGAATAATCATAATTAAAAAGTTGCCTGGAGAACTACAGTCCAGTGAAGGAAGTAATGTTCCTACATGCCCAGCCTGTCCGTAAACTTCCCTGCTCTCAGTTGTAGGTTCTGAATTCCCGTGGCAAAGGGCAAGGGAGGTGAAATTGTTCAGAGTTTCAGGCAGTCTTCTCACCCAACGTGAGTAGTATTGCAATGTCTGTCGGAATCATGGCTCTGAAGATGAGGAGAGGAGCGGGGTGGGCAGTTTGTGTGGTGAGGAGTCTGGCCGCAGGTAGACTGGGAGGGAATGTCACACACAGTTTTCTTTCTCCTTTAAGCCGAATGAGGTACTCTGGTCAAAGGAACTTGGGGAAGGAGGATGGTGAGGGGAATGAAGTTCTTCTTCCTATTGATTATTTTATTGCACCAGAGGCTGTTTGTCCAAGGCCACTGGCCAAGAGCATTATTTTCGTGGCTAAAGTGAGGTTGGGCAGGTTTCCCATCCCTTTCGCTAGTTTTAAACAAGACAACCCAGAAAGCGCAGCAAGGCTCTGGGAATACGATGTGGGTTGGCTTTTCCTACTCAGCTGCACCTTAAAGCGCCAGGCCATTGGGCTTGATACTTCTCAAACCCTGAATCATTGCCTCCAGCTCTGCCCTGGGTTCAGGATGCACCACTCCACCCTCTGTGTAGCTTGGGTCAACTTCGGGGCGTCACTCGAATAGTAATTATTGCTGCGTTTGGCTGGACATCCTTATTACGGCCTGGGTCCCTCTCAGCTGGACACCGGGCTCCTTAGTTTGGCTGGGATGACTCCAGTACTTCCCGCCGCCCCACCTTACCCCCCTACGCGCTCCCTTCCCAAGGCGACCACCTGCACCGCCCCACTTACCATCTGCCCCGCGGGGAGGGCCCCCCCGGGCTAGCGGAGCCCTCCCTGCTCCCGGGCGGCTTTGGAGGAGCTCGGTGTTTGCCTCCAGCCCTTCGCTACCGGAGGATCAGGTTCCTCCCCTCCTCCCCCTCCAGCTCCGGCCGCCGCCGCCTCCTTCTTGCATGACACAGCAGAACCGCAGCTGCTGCAGCAATTCCAAGCCATCCGCCCAGGAAGCGCCGCAACCGGGACTCGGGAGGGGTGGAGGGGGCGAGGCAGGGGCCACGGCCCCGGGGGATCCTCGGCCCCACTGTGCACCACACACTCCTTTCCCAGCCCAGGGGCACGCGAACAAAATGAGGCTCAAGCTGACCAGGCCGAGCTGGAGGAACGCTGGGGCTTGGCAGCAGAAGGGATGGGACCAGAGCGAAGGGTGTGGAGGAGACCCCAGTGAGGGCCAGGACATTTCAGGTAAAGAGAGGTAAGAAGAGGCCCAGACGTCAAGGCCCAGACTGTGAAGGTGAATAGAGGTCAAAGAGAGGTAAGGAGGTAGAGTTGCAGAGAAGAGAGGCCAAGCTGGGAAGGGCGTGGGGTTGGGGGCAGCTGCAGGGGAGGATGGGAGGTATAGTCTTTGGGGAGGCCTGAGCTGAGCGCCCAGGCAGAAAAGGGGCTGAGTTGGGAGGCAAGGACTGTAGGAGGAAAGGGATGAAAGAATTAGGCATGAGGTAGGAAGGTAAAACTTGGGAGAGATATTATAGAATTAGAAGGGTTGGAATGGAGCTCATTCATCATGGCTGATGAGGTAAACTGATGAGATGGAGAGAGTGTGTCAAGGCAAGGCCAAAAGAAAAGATCTTCCATCCCACTCTTCAGTTTCTTGCGAAGTTTTTTCTTGATTCCGCCAATCCAAACAGTTTCCCTTATAAAATGGAAACGCATGAACTAAAAAACCCAGAAATAGCTATCTGGCTTAGATTTACAGGATAAAATCTCCGTGTCTGTAAAAACTTTAAGGCAGAAATTTGGGATTTATGGTACAAACCCTTAAAGGGACTGTGAGTCAGTAATACCCACAGCACTCAACATTGTGAGTTTCCACACATCCCTGGACTTAAGTAAGTCTTTCCAAGTGTTTGTTAATGCTAGAAATGATGAAAAAATTAGTGGCTCAAAAATATTAAAGTGCACATGCTTTTTGCTTTCTCTATGTATACACAGATACATATATGTATACTTTCTAGCGACTAGCAAGTATGGTATGGCTAGGGATAATTATGTTTTTCTGATTATTTTGTTTCCCATCAAACACCCCACGAATTTTACAGCAGACCGCCTTCTTGTCACCATTTGAAAGAATGTGGTCAGAAAAGTAATGCAAAAACTGCCACTTTGGTTTTGTCTGTACCTTCCAGGTCATATCTCCGTACCTCACTTCCTGACACAAACAAGTTTTCACTGTTGTCAGCAACAAAGCCCTAATATAGCTGCGGAAGAGAAAAACTGCATTGCATTTTGCCTCCTGCAAGCATCATCAACAGTTACTGGAGGAATGTAATTCCAGAAAGCTTGAAAGCCGTGGTGATGGTAATTATGTATCAAATGCCTGGTTCTATTTCTGTTATTATTGTTTTGTCATTTCTGTTCTCCCAGCGATCTGACTGAACTTGCAGAGGGACAAATCCGGTTTTTCTTTTTGACTTTTGTCAAACTGAATCAGGCCTGATAGAAAACTCATTGCTCTCCGAGGAAACAAAGTAGGAGCCATGAAATGTCATTTTAACAGAGCGTGGGTTTGGTGACTGTAGGAAAGGATTTGAGGACGCTCCTTCTGTTCGGCTTCCTATGTCATGAGCACAGACTCCACGCACGCACAGACACCACGGCTCCCGGATGCTGTGGCTCCCCGATCTGGGCTCCTGCAGCGCCAGAAGCCCCTCCGGGATGCTGCGAGGGGCTCCCGGTGGGTGGAGGTACGGACGCCGCTGCGGCCGCCGCCGCCAGTCCTGCTGCTGTTGTTGCTGCTGCAGTCACGTGGGAGCCCCTTTAAGTTTCCATAGAGAGGCCTCTCTGGTGTCACATGATGGACATGATATAATGAAACAACATTGTGGAGAGGAAAGCATTAGGGGAGCCCACGGCTACAAAAACAAGTGAGTGAGAAGAGGTGGGAGGAAGAGAAACTACGCCACCTCCCCTGCAGCCGAGCGCACGCAGCAGCCTGGCGTGACAAGTGGGCGACGCCGGGGGGCAGGGAGCCGGGGTCCTCGGCCCTGGCCGGGGACCCCACCGCCCACCGCGCGGAGAACAACTTTTAGCCGGCAGCCCAGGCCAGCGCGGCACCTGTCTCCTGAGTCTCCACCGCTCCTCCCCATCCATCCCAGGGAAATTCTCAAGAATACTCTCTACAAATCTACGTGCGCATCGTTTTCCCCTCTCGTCGCGCCCGGGAGGAAGGAACGAGGCAAGGAGCTAAGCAGCGTGCGTTCAGCCCTGGGGTAAGTTCGTCGGGTGGGGAAGCCAGTCCCGCAGGACTTTGGGATGGGAATTTTGCTCTCCTTTGCGATCTCAGGGCGTGAAAAAGGCGTCCCCTCCGCTCCTGGCGGCGGGGCTGATCGGCTGGCTAGTCAGTTTCCCCTTAGCACGCCCCGTGCGCCCACCCTCGCTCGGCCCGGGGCCCCCTCGCCGCCCCCCGGAAAGGGTCTGCGGTTCCTGGCCAGGACCTTCGGAAGGCGAGCGGGGGAAGGTAGGGCTGTCGCGGGAACCCGGCTTGTGGGAGCGATTTCGCCATGTTTGTGTTGCTAAGAGCACTTTTTCCCCTTTGCTGTGGCTTGATGCCACATGGCTCCTCTGGAGCTGCCGCCGGGCTGAGAGAGTGTGTGTGTTTTTTTTTTTTCAATGTCCGCATTCCAGCTAATGTTGCGCAGATAAAATTCAAACTTGAGGTAAACAGAAGAAGAGGAGGAGGAGGAGGAGGAGGAGGGGAGGGGGGAGGGAGGGGGAACTGTTTCCATTTCGAGATCCCACCTCTTCCCTCCGCGCAGCCCAACATCCCGAACCTAGAGACAACTCTCGCCTTTCTCCCACGTCCCCCACCTTTGCTGTCAACAAGAAATAAGGCCGGGGGGGGGTGGGGGTTGGAGTTGGGGGGTGGCATGCTTATTAATTAGAAAGGACACGGTGTCTTGGTTCTCCACTGGAATCAGCAACTCCCTGGAACTCGGGCCTCTGGCCCCGTCCCTCTTTTCTCCGGCAGGGACGCAGGATGCCTTGGTGCACTCTGGAGACGGGGACGGGAGGCTGCAGCGCGCCTGGGTGGGGCGAGGGGTGCCGGTCCCCTCACGCCCTCTGACTTTAGGATATCAGACAGTGTCTTTTCAACCCCACCCCAGGCGCAGGTTTCCAGAAGGTGGGGTGGGTGGGGCCCCCGATTTCCAGAAGGCGAGTTACCTAGCAGGTGTGTGGGGTGGGCATTGCTATTCGGTAAGTCTGTTGCATGGGGTAGGATGACGTGGGAAGCTTAAAAGCTTTAAAGCCAGCCCAAGGGTAGAGCTGCGTCTGCTGTTTTTTGTTTGTTTGTTTGTTTTTTCCTGTGTGTGTGGCAAATTAGGGAGAAAAATCAAGACGTTCCCCCCAGTCCTCCCTCGGTGTAAACGTCTGCTCCAGCTCGCAGCCCGCTGCTGGGTGAGTGGCGACGATCAAGGCGAGGGTGAGCTTCGTCACGGGGAAAGCTGGAGGCTCCTGACAGCTCGTAGCCGTCCTCCCCGCGCCCCGCCCTAGGCGGAAGGTGTGGGTTGGGTGGTCCGAAGAGGGTGACGTCCGAGGTGGGGTGGGCACAGGCTCGGGATCCCTCGCAGAGCTAGGGGCCGCAGCCCCGGTCGCCGGGGAGTGCCGTGGCAGGGAGGCGGCGGCCACGTGAGGGGTCTGCGGAAGCGCCGGAGCTGAAAGCCGGGGGCGAAGTGCGTAGCAGAGTCGTGACGGGGGTGACACGCAGCAGCCGGGGGCGGCAGGCCGCCGGAGCCGGGCGCCTCCCACGCAGGGCCGGCGTTCCCCGCCGCGGGTGGGTGCGCACTAGCCGGCCCTCTCCCGGGAGACCGTTTCCGGGAGCGGGAGCGGGCGCGGGCGGGGCGGGGCCGGCGCGGTAAACAGGGTGGCGCTCTCTGCCTCCCGCCCCCGGCTGCCGGGGCGCGCGCCGGCGGCGGCCGGAGTGGCGGAGGCGCGTCGCGGCGCCGGGCAGCGGGGGCGCGCCCGCCGCCGCCCGGCCGGCCTCCTCTGTTTTTGTTTTGATGGAGCCCGCGTGCAGCTGGCGCGTGTCGAGTCACGTGCCAGGGGCGGGATGGGGCCGGGGCGCGGGAGGCGAGGGCTCGGTGACGTGGGCCGGAGGGGCCGGCGCCCGAGGGGGCCGCAGAGGGCGCGCGCGAGGGGGCGTGTGACCCCCGATGGAGCCGTGTCTTGCGGGTGGCCCGGCGCTGGGTGAGGGGTTTGGCGCTTCTCGGCGAGCAGTGCTAGGTTCATCGTCGCAGCGCTTCGGGGAGCCTTGTCCAGGCGGGAGGGCCTACCTGCGCTGCTGGACTCAAAACTTGGATCTTACAGGTGGTGTGTACATCTCTGTGGACGTGTAGACACTTCTGTGTGCTCCTGAAGGACGGCTGCGCGTTATAACCAACTGGAGTGCTTTAAAAAGAGTTCTAACGCCCAACGCAATCCCAGACCAATTGGACCCACATCCAGATAGGGCCTGGACGGTGTATTTTTAACCCCCACTTCCCCGTAAGTGATTTTGGTGCAGAGTGCGAATTTATACAAGTAACCAGCTTGATGGAATAGCTACTTGTGAAATCATACCTATTTAGGGACAAAATAGTAAGAACAGCTAAAATAGCTAACACATATTGATCTGTCACTCAGTGGGGTCTCTGTGTCAGATACTGCGGCTCCCCATACATGGATCTACTCGTAAAAGTACTGTTACCCCTATTTTACAGTTGGAGGAGTGAAAGTTCGGAGTTAAATCAGGGAGGACGACTGTACCTAGGACCTAGAGAGGTCGAGTTCAGAACCCTTACTTTCAACAGACACGTATGCCTCGTGGAAAACGTCCCTTTGCCTAAGGGCCCTATGTTTGTGTGAATAGTAGTACTTATGTTCGCCTAAGGGCCAGCTGGTTTATGTGGGTACATTTCTGCTGTTAAGATTTTTGTTTGAAAAGCTTTGCTTGTATAAGGGAGGAAAATCATTTGGAGATTCTTTAAGGCCTGTAGGCGACTTTTTCCAGAAGTTTATTGTGGATTAAGGAGAGAGGGGATCTCCGTAATTTGAAGTGAATAGGTTCTCTGGAAGTTTCTTGTTCTGTTTTTGAGACTTGAGCATTTGTATAATATGAAGGGGAGAGTCCGGAAGAGGCAAATATTTTCCAAGTATTTGCATGAGCAACCACAAGAGTGTTTTAGGTTGCTGGATGCGATACAGTTGTGGTGTGGTCACAGCTGGATGTACCCAGAGGTGCAGTGTGGTACAGAGTAGCAGAAGTTCTGCCATTAGCATTTTGGATTAAAAAAAAAAAAAAAAAAAACTGGTCTGGAGTACAGAAACTTTGCTGTTACATCTCCTTTCTCCTCTTAATTTGTTTCATTTTTCTCCTGGTCAGATAAACTGTTGGTGGGACGTTTAGATGTGGGAGTAGTCTATTTCATTAGTGTTTTCTGTACAGAGATTCCAAAGAAAACTCATAGTAAACAGAGGTTTCTCCCTGAAAACAAATGATACTAGCTACAGTGTATTTGTGACCAATATGTATTAAGAGTACCGCGTCACAAAGAACTTTATATTCCTGTTGATTGCTGTCAAATATTGTTAACCTCTATGGCAGGCATGGGTATATTATTTAACAAATTTTAGGGATTGGTTTTCGTATTACTTGCAGTTTTGGTGAGGAAGGCTTACAGACCTGCTCAGGCAGACATGACTGGAACGTGAGTATCTGTGGTCTGGTGTGGAAATAGCTCTGTAGCCCCATCTCCCTCCTCCCATTGTCCACCCCCATCCTCCTAACCATGAAACACATTTTTCACCAGCATTGCCAAACCACTTGGGGTTCCTGTGCACGGCTCTGCTTAGTTTGCTCTTCTGCTTCTTGGATACCTCCTTCAGGAAATGTTCGCTGATTTCTCCTCAGAAACCGTTGAAAAAATACCCTCCCTGCGTCATCTCTGCATTGTATATATGCTTGTCTTACTGCGTTATATCACAGCATATCTCATTGTGTTTGTTACATATTGAACACCACTACTAAATTGGGCTCTTCAAAGGTGGGAATGGTGACTTGTTTATCTGCACATCACTGGCACACAGTGAGCACTTAAGTTTATTGCATTGGTCGCAATTAAATTTACTTCCATTTAAGTTGCATTATCTGTGTCGGTGTTTTCCTGAACCACTCATCTTCATTCTGAACTGTCCTCACCTCCTTCTCTGCTACTAGCTACCAGGCTAAAAACACAGCTGCAAGCACCCCAAGACAAAACTTACACAGAAAGTACACAATACTAGTAACACATTATCAAAGAAATAGGAAGGGGCAAAATATCAGTTTTTCACTTGTTGTGAATTTCATCCTTCACAAACAAAGGAATTTGTGAATTCCTTTGGCCGATTGGACGGTGTGAATTTTCTTGATTACTAATATATGCTGGAAGAGATGCCCAAGGTTGTTTTTACTTTTCAACTTACTTGGGAAGGAAGTACTACGTTACCAGTGGACGTGCTTTGATGTGCCATTACAGAGCACAGGTGCTTCATCACGTTTCATTGTTGTAATTTTCAGATTATTACAGAGGTATTTGTAGAGCAGCACTGTCCCATAGAGCTTTTGGAGAGGATGGAAATGATTTATAAATCTGTGTTATCCAGTGTAGTAGCCACTAGCCACTTGTGGCTATTGAGCACATTAAGTGTGACTGACGAACTGAATTTCTTTTCTTTCTTTTTTTTTTTTTTTGAGACAGGGCATTGTTCTGTCGCCAAGGCTGGAATGCAGTGGTGCTATCTTGGCCCACTGCAACCTCTGCTTCCCAGGCTGAAGCGATCCTCCCACTGCAGCCCTCCCAAGTAGCTGGGATTACAGGGACCTGCCACCATGCCTGGCTAATTTCTGTGTTTTTAGTGGAGATGGGGTTTCGCCATGTTGCCCAGGCTGGTTCTGAACTCAAGCAATCCGCCTGCCTCAGCCTCCCAAAGTGCTGGGATTACAGGCGTGAGCCACTGTGCCTGGCCAGAATTGAATTTCTACTTGATAAATGTAAATAGCTGCTAGTGGCTACTGTATTGGATGGCACAGTTACAGAGGATATGTTTGTGTTTAAATCCTGTAATTGACAGATCATCATTTAGGCTAAGGTATTCTGCCTTTAAAAGTCTGCAGTCATCTTCTAGGTCTTAACACCATGCTTCCCCTTCATAGATTATAAGGTGCTTAGTGGGTGATATTTTTGGCCTATGT